AGTTTGTCTCTGGCCTACAATCCAATCACATTAGCCGCGAATAAATCAATTAGCAGCACCCTTGCGGATGCGTACGACAGCTAGTACACCCGCCCCACCCCCACCCCTCCCCCCTCCCCCTCCTTCTCCTTCCCCTTTAGCCCCCTTTTCCGGCTTTCCCCTCCCCGTCCCTCCCCATCCCACCTCACGTCCCTCTTCCGCCAGACGACGCAGAAGCACCGCGGGTTCGGCTTCCTGACGTACATGGAGAAGGAGGACGCGGCGGCCGCCATGGACAACATGCACAACGGCGAGCTGTACGGCCGCGTGCTCACCGTCAACATCGCGCAGCCGCAGAAGATCAAAGGCGGCGAGCAGGGCTGGGCCTCGCAACCAGGTGCGGTGGCGTTTAGGGCACAGGAACGGGCGTTGCAGCCAGATACGCCGGGGTTTAGTAAGGATGGCTCTTGTGTTGTTCAGGGATGGGCTTCGAGGGCAACCAGGTGTCGTGTGTGCAGGCAAAGGGGCATTGTATGTTCAGGGTTGAGGGCTGGGTCTTGCAACTGGTCACCATCTGGGTGCAAAGAGATTATTCTGGTGGTTTTTGGTTAGGCTCATGATGCCCTTTACTCAAGGGAAGGGTGTTATACTACCGCCTGTCCAGCCTACGGTTTGCACCCCACCCCACTGTCTTGCACCCCACCTCACCCTGCTTCACTGTTGTCCTTTCCGCTTTGTGACTAACGTTGTCCGTGCAAATTTTTGCACACTTACCCCAGCCCTGCCACCTGCCAAATTTCTTTCCCTTCCCTTCCTCTTTACGTTTCACAGCTCCTCTTCCCCTGTTCCCCTTGGCATACTTCCCCTTCTTGATCTCTCTTTTTCCCTCCCCCTCTTCCTCCCCACCTCGTGTACCTTTCCGCACATGTTTTTTTCCAACTCCAGTGTGGGCGGACGCAGACACATGGTTTGAGCGCCAACAGCAAGAGGAGGAGATTCAACGATTAAGCAAGGAGCAGAAAGCTGCTGCTGCAGCTGCTGCCAATGCTCCAAAGGGTGGCGCTGCTGCTGATAGAAGCATGGAAGAGGAAGAGGAGGGGGATACTGGGCCTGGTGCAGCTGATCCTATGGCTGCTGCTGAAGCTGAGGCTATGAACAAGACATGATAGTGTGCTTCTATGTGCTTGGCATGGAAGTACCTTGTGTAAATGCAGTTACGGTAGTCTACATCGTTCAGCCTTTAGGAAACCAGTGGTATGCACCCAACAAATTGCTCGTCAACAATCCCGCAAAATAGGAAATGTTCCTGTACAAAACAACCACTACACTGGGCACAACTAATCACTCTTTTTGTAGTGAATACCCAATTCATTACTGTAGAGGCTGCTCTTAGCGAGGACAGCCCGAACACTTCGCGTCAGGATGGCTCGGCCTACACTTTCGCACCGAGCCAATTCCGAGTCGCCCCGCACCAATCACGACACATCCAAACCCAACCACATCCCAAGGTCCCCGCCTAGCACGGTTTCGACCCAATAAATGTGTGCTCCTTTATCATTCTTGATCATTCTGTAATTCATTCTCTTTATAGAAGTCTTCCGCGCACTCTGTTTAGTAAAACTCATAACACTTTTCACCAAATCAAAACATCGAAATCTTCCCAGCCTTCCCAGTGAGAGGGTACCCTCCCTCCCCTCTACGGCTTCTGCACATTCGTCACGCCATGAGCAATGAACAAATCGCCCTTGTACATTCCCGGGTCGCTCACCCTGGACCACGTCCTCCGCTTCGACCCCGCCTGCCCGAGCGCCACCCCGGTTCCGCGCTTCAGCCACCCCTTCCCCACATCGATCTGCACCAGCCGGCGGTCCTGGTAAACCGTGGGGAAGGACGAGCCGCTTCGGAGCTCCGCGAGCGTGAAGGACCCGTCGAGCACGTTCATGAGGACCGTGTCTAAGTGCGCTTCGACCTCCTCTTGGGTATCGGGGAGTTTGCCGTTGAAATAGCGGAGTACGGCGGTGTTGTCGGGGATGAGGAGGGTTTTCGCCTCCGCGTTCGGGAGCACGTCCGCGCCGTATTTCGCGAGGAGGGAGTCTGGCGGGGGGAGGCGGGAGGAGGCGGAGAAAACGCGGAAGCTGGGTTATGGGCCGATCGCGGACAACAGCACGGGACAAGCGGCATTACGCTGCAAATGGAGCGCCGCGAGGGACTAACCTTGCTTCTTGAGCACGTATTTTGCGGCGAGGTAGATGAGCGAGAAGTTGGGGCGGCTCTTGAGCGCGTTCGTCAGCGCGCGGACCTCGTCGATGAGGCGCTCTGACGACACCTCCGCGGACACGACCGACGTCGCGAGGAGCAGCGCGAAAAGCACTGCGAGCGCGGGCGATTTGTAGCCCATGGCGGCGGGTGCTGCACGTTGTGCGCTAAGTTCGCTGGCTTGCGGTGGAGAAAGGTTCCGTTATAGCTGACGACGATTTTCACTTGCAGTCCGGAGAAAACACCTAACGAATTCACAAGCAACGGTGGGTGCTTGGCTCTCGCTTGTTGCCTGAACTAATGAAGGCGAGATGGGAAGCCATGACTTTGTACTACAAAGCTCTCGCGTGCGCAAATTGGTGGGGCGGAAGCGGGGGAGGTGGCTTGCGGTGGGGGAGCGCTGAGTAAGCGAGCAGCGCCAGCGGGTACAGATGAGGGATGGGCGAGGGAGTGGTGGTGCTTGTGGGTCGGAGCCGTGGGGTAGAAACATGCTGCGCTGGAGCCTGAGCGTCAGAACATTTGCGATTTTTGGGTTCGGAATTTCGTCGTCACGTCGGTCGTCCTTACCAGACCAATCGCGCCCCTCCACTCCCCCGCGTCGCATCGCACACACGGTTCAGCCTCAAACCAACCAAGCATTTTACTGTTTCGCCACCCATTCTAACCCAGAGTAAACGTACAGAACCACATGTTCGCACGTAGTTTTCCATCACATTATCTCCACCAGCTGTGTCGTGCGCATACTTCCAAACAAAGTTGCGACAATTTGGACGACCGAGCGGGCCTTTTTCGCACAAGGTCGCTGTGCGACAATCTGTTGATGGCAGGACTCAGGAGTTGTGCAGGGAACGAACACAGGTCCATCGATCATGGTGCACAGTCAAGTACCAACTGTTCTCAGCCGTCGATGCAACTAACATTGAGGCACCAGAACAGTGCTACATTCAGGTCTAGGTTCAGTGACGGTGAACCACTTTCATGTAGCGGATAGTCGATACTAGCTGATGTGGTATTACTATACTTCAATAGTTAATGTCGGTATCTGAACTATATTGTGAAACACTGATGTAGAAATGCATTTTGACACACCTCACCACACCACCATCACCCATCCATGCGCCGTTTCGCGAAGAGCAAGCCTGTGCATGCCGCCGTCAGTCAGCAGCAGTAACGAATCTGTAACGACTGGTGGCTATCCGACAAATTCACGGATCCCAGGCTGTTGTTGGTGTCAGCCAGCCACATCCACGAGCGCATCGCGCGACAGTGCCGATTTCGCTGCTTATTTTTTCGGATTCCGCCGCCGACTGAGCGATTTCAGCAAAGGCACGTAACCACTCTTCGCCTAATCGTCACAAGCCCCTTGTTCTATTCTAGCACCACGCGAAGGGGGGTAACCGTCGTCGTTACTGCCTCGTCTCTTTTGTCGTACATGCAGCTCATTCTTGTGGTTGCTCAGTGCGCTTCAGATTTTCATGGCAGAACAGAAGCTGTTCGGATTTCGGTCTAGGAGGCATCCTATCTACCTCCAGAATTTGGAGTTCAGATAACCAACACTCAGGACACGTCACCTGCCTCGATCGTACCTGCGCAGGATCGATTTTTGATTCGGTTCAAAAAGTTTTCAAACAAATTTAAATGCAACACGCGGGCTTTTAGTGCGGTGGACGATCGATCTTCCTCGATTTTGCACGATCGATCGAGGGAGGTGACGTGTCCTCACCAGGCCTGTCGATTCAAGGGCATATGCCCTTAATGCCCTGAACATTCCGGGTTACTTTCGCTCCAGCTCGACTGCATAAAGTGTTAGATTCGCACAGCACCCGCGCCACTAAGTGCCTAGTTCGACCCTCCCCAGATGCGTTAAGTACCCAAACCAGGCCTTCCCCTGTCTCAAAGTTTTGGTTTCCGGTTGTAAGACCCCCCCCCTTCCCTCTTTTTCCTTAGGCTGCACGAGAGGAGTGGATATTTCCTAGTAGCGTTTTCTGGCCAATCCTGTGTTTATAAAGTGTCTAAGTCAGCTTGGAGAACCTGAATTTTCCTTTAGCGCCTAAGTGCCCCCCCCCCCCCCCTCCTTCTCCTTAGGTTGTACGAGAGGAGTAGTTTTTTCCCTTGCGCTTTCTTGCCAATCCTGTGTTTAAAAAGTGTCTAAGTCAGCTTCGAGCACCCGAATTTTCCCTTAGCGTCTAAGTGCAAACTCTTCACAAGCCCGGATTTCAAGTTTTCACTTTGGGGTGCGCCAGTGACCGTTAAGGGTGCCCAAACGCTCAGCTACACCAAAAATAGGGTCAGATGGGGAGGAGCTGGGGAGCGCAAGTATGGGCCCCAGGAACTTCGACAGGCCTGGTCCTCACCATCTCACCTCACCGCCATCATAACTCCACCAACCATCCTATCCATTCATTCATTCATTTCATTTATTTGTTTTCTTCACTCGAGGCGTAGTCTTTCGTAAGGCTCCGCGCTTCGTTTCGTCCCACCCGATTTGTCCCGTGGGTCGAGCGAACCTACAGCACACCCTTCAGGGAATTTGCCTGCCATTGCTTCGCGCGCGTAGCCTCTCCGCACGCGACGGCAGAAGCAAATCGCGTTTTCCAGCACGAAGAGGGTATGGCGTGCTTGCGGCCTGTCAAAGGTCGATAAGCGTCGGACCCCGGAGTTCCCATCAAGGATCCATTACCGCACGAAAAAAATCGCGAGCTCTCGTTCACTCCAAACGACGCCGCGAAAAAATTGTTGCGATTTGTCGCCCAAAGGTTCCGACGATGGTTTTCCGACGTTGCGCGACGACGAGTCGCAGCCGTCGCAGGGACCGACAGCTGTCGCACAGTCTGCCAGTCGTCGCTTTGGCGCTTCTCGCCTTTGCAATACGGCCGCTGGAAGGCGCCTCGAGCGGCGCCGGCTTCGTGAATTCATGTGAGGCCTCGACGGGCGGGACTTTGCGTCGTCTTTTAGTCTCCTCGTGAATCGACGGGCTGATATATGCGACGCCAATATAAGGAGGCTGTGCAGGGCAGTCTCTTCGATCGACGTGTTCATCGAAATGCCGAAGTTCTTCGCATTCCGTGAATGCTACGAGCGCTGAGCACGTCAGCAAAACTCATTTTCCTCCTCTTCTCCGCCCTGCTCTTCCCCCATCTCCGGTTTCCGCTTCCCCCATCCCCCCCCCCCCCCCCCCCCCATTCGCGCGCCAGGGGCAAATCATCTCCTCCGCTACTCCAGCCTCCCTCGCCACGAACAATCCACTGACGCGTCGCTTCTCCCATCCTCGTTACAATCCGCCCCAATATCATCGCACAAGGCACCCGGTTCGTTTCTCCCATCCGCCCTTCCTTCCGCCTCCGCCGCCAAATCACGCCGCGCCTCCACCGCCCCCGCGCTCCCCCAGCACCTTCCGCGTTTCCTCCACTCCGCGCATTCTCAACCATCCCCCGCCTCCGCCCCCGTGTGGCGCAACCGCGTCACCCTCTCCCGCGTAGCCGCGCTTCCGCCCGCCCCCCCGTCCGCGGGGAGCAGGAGGGTCGAGTTAGAATCAACGGTGAAGCGCAAGGCGACAACGACTCGGCCAAAATCCGTGCCGTCCACTTTGGGCGCTGCTGACCGTACGATGCTGCTGAGTCGGATGAACGATGCGCGGTGAGAGATGAAACGGGGGAGGGGCGAGATGAAACAGGGTAGTTGACACATATGGTTGGGACGGGGAAGACGGGTGATAGATGAAACGGGGGAGGTGAGAGATGACACGACGTCAAGTGCGATTGAGACAAAATGCTGCTGAGCTGACACTCTCTCCTCACCTCTCACTCCTCTGCCCCCCTGCTTAAACATTTTCTCTCAATCTCCTTTCCTCTCCATTCCCTCACTCCCCTTCTCTTCCCCGTCTCTCCCCACTCCCTTCCCTCGTTCCCTCCACCAATCAGAGCGTCTGTTTCAGCCACAGCCGTCCCACGCCCATCCGCCGCACTCCCAAACCTGACCTGGAGCGACACCCTGGCAGGCTCGGCGCAGGCCTGGGCAGCCAAAGAAGCAGGTTCGGTGTGCGCCGGGCCTGTGGACGCGTTCGGCAGCACTCTGTCCCTATGGTCGCAGCAGCCTGGCAGTGCGTATGGAGTGAGCTGGTACGGGTTTGAGTCGGCTGCTTCCTCCCCTGCCGGCAGCACTCCCTCTGACGCCCTCACCGCGTGGCTCTACGAGAAGGCCTTCTATGATGTGAGTGTGTGCGATTGGTGGGGTGTGAGTGTGCTATGTGTCTTAGTGTGAGTGTGCTATTAGTGGCTCGTGCTGAGCTGTGCTGTGCTGTGAGTGGCTCGTCTCCCCTCTGACGCCCTCACCGCGTGGCTCTACGAGAAGGCCTTCTATGATGTGAGTGAGTGTGCGCGATATGAGAGGAAGACCAATCTGTGTTTCGTTTGATTCCCCAACGTTCGTGCGAATTACGTGTGCCTCGCCTCCTCTCTGTGCGAATTACGTGTGCCTCGCCGCCTCTCTGTGCGAATTACGTGTGCCTCGCCGCCTCTCTGTGCGAATCACGTGTGCCTCGCCGCCTCTCTGTGCGAATCACGTGTGCCTCGCCGCCTCTCTGTGCGAATTACGTGTGCCTCGCCGCCTCTCTGTGCGAATTACGTGTGCCTCGCCGCCTCTCTGTGCGAATTACGTGTGCCTCGCCGCCTCTCTGTGCGAATTACGTGTGCCTCGCCGCCTCTCTGTGCGAATCACGTGTGCCTCGCCGCCTCTCTGTGCGAATTACGTGTGCCTCGCCGCCTCTCTGTGCGAATTACGTGTGCCTCGCCGCCTCTCTGTGCGAATTACGTGTGCCTCGCCGCCTCTCTGTGCGAATCACGTGTGCCTCGCCGCCTCTCTGTGCGAATTACGTGTGCCTCGCCGCCTCTCTGTGCGAATTACGTGTGCCTCGCCGCCTCTCTGTGCGAATTACGTGTGCCTCGCCTCCTCTCTGTGCGAATTACGTGTGCCTCGCCGCCTCTCTGTGCGAATCACGTGTGCCTCGCCGCCTCTCTGTGCGAATCACGTGTGCCTCGCCGCCTCTCTGTGCGAATCACGTGTGCCTCGCCGCCTCTCTGTGCGAATCACGTGTGCCTCGCCGCCTCTCTGTGCGAATCACGTGTGCCTCGCCGCCTCTCTGTGCGAATCACGTGTGCCTCGCCGCCTCTCTGTGCGAATCACGTGTGCCTCGCCGCCTCTCTGTGCGAATCACGTGTGCCTCGTCGCCTCTCTGCTCACATTCACACGTCCCCCACCCTCCCATCGCCCTTTACTCTCTTCCCTCTACTCTCTTCCCTCCAACCACCCCACGCGCAATGAGTGCAGTGACACGGACGACTGTGAGGACTACTGGCAGATCGTATCCAAGCACCTTACACGTCCTCTCCCCACCTCCCTCCCCCCTCTCTGCTCCCCGTCCTTCCCACCCATCAGCCTGCCCGCAACCAGTGCTCTGACACGGACGACTGTGAGGACTACCGGCAGATCGTGTGCTGAGATGACTCCCAGGTCCTCTTACCCCTTCCGCCTCTCTTCCACTATCTTCCCCTCTTCCCTTCTGCTATGTCCCATATCAGCCCATACGGAACGAGTGCTCGGACACGGACGACTGTGAGGACTACCGCCAGATCGTGTGGCGAACCACCACTTCAGTGGGCTGCGGCATGGTGAGATGCAGAGCGGTGCGGTGGTGTTGTGAGGTGGGGCGTGGGTGCGGTGCGGCGCTGTGTTGTCGGATGGGGTGTGGTGCGGTGCGGTGCCTTGTGGTGTGTCATACGGGATGGGTGTTGGAGCTGGTACATGCTTCTCTACAGCCTATCACAATCCCTCCTCCTCACCCTGCTTTCTCTCGCCCCCGGATCACATGCAACGAGGCCAATGCACCCATCCCAGCAACTCTCTTCGTCCTCCTCTGCTATTTCGACCCTCTCACACTTCCCCCCGCCCCTCCTTGCACAATCCCACCCTTCTCTCTCGCCCCCGGGTCACATGCAACGAGGCCAATGCACCCGTCCCAACCTCTCTCTTCGTCCTCCTCTGCTGCTTCCTCTCACGTTCTCACACTCCTTCCTCACCCCTCTTCCCTCCCTTTGCTCCTTCCCCCCCTGCCCCCCCCTCTCTCCCCCCCAGGTAACGTGCAGCGAGGCCAACGCACCCATCCCAACGTCTCTCTTCGTCCTCCTCTGCTGTTTCGACCCTTTCACACTTCCCCTTTCCCTTCCTTCCTCCTCTTCACCTCCTTCACTCTCTCCCCCACTCCAGGTCACATGCAACGAGGCCAATGCACCCATCCCAACGTCTCTCTTCGTCCTCCTCTGCTACTTCGACCCCCCCGGAAACCTTCCCAACCAACACCCCTGGCTCTCCCCCCCCCTCCCCACCTTCCCCCGCTCCTCCCCCTCCCGCCACCCCTCCCCCTCGCCCACCCCCACCCTCTCCTCGCGCCGCCCCCACTCCCCCCCCACCTCCCCTCCGCGCGCCTCCCCCTAAAGCCTCCTCACCTCCCCCTCCTCCCCCTGTGCGGAGCCCTCCCCCCCGCCTCCCCCCGCCCGCTTCCCCCAGCCCTCCCCCTCCGCGCGCTTCCCCCTTGGGGGTGACCAGCGTGGGGGAGGGGGGGAGGGAGACGCTGCTGCAGGGGATGAATGGAGCGAGGTGAGAAGGGGGGGAGAGGAGGGGGGGGAGAAGTGGGGGGAAAGAAGTGGGGGGGGGAGAAGTGGGGGGGGAGAAGTGGGGGGAAATAGCATGGAGAATGGTGAAGCAAGGGAGGGTGGAATGTTGCTTAGTGGAAGGCTGATTTGTTTCTGTCTTGTCTTTGTTGTTTAGCTTTTGCTGCATTGCGTCCTGCCGGTGCGTGATTGCCGCTCTGCGATTCCTCTCTCATCCATCCCCCTCTCTCCCCCTCACTCTTACAAACAAACTCTTGATTCCCCCCCCCCCCTCTCTCTTATCCTCTCTCCCCCACCACCACCCTCCCCCACCAATCACAGGCTTGCAGTCCCCTCTGCCAGCCTGTCAGCGCTGACCTGGAGCGACGCCTTGGCCACGTCAGCACAACAATGGGCAGCCAATCAGACAGCATCCCTCTGCTCGGCCCCTCTAGACGCCTTCGGCTCAGCCCTCTCTTTCAGCGCAGCCATTCCTGTAGCCGCTGCCACCCTCCCCTCTCTGTTTACTGCTGCTACAACCTCTCCTCTGGTAGGAAAGCGGAGCAGCAGCAAAAAGGGCAGCGGCAAGACCAGTGGCAGCAGCACGAGCAACAGCACGAGCGGCAGCAGCAGCGGTGGCGGCGGCAGTGCGTATGGAGTGAGCTGGTACGGGTTTGAGTCGGCTGCTGCCGCTCCTGCCGGCAGCACTCCCTCTGACGCCCTCAGCGCATGGCTCTCTGAGAAGCAGAAGTACAACGTGAGTGTGTGCGCAGGGGATGAGGTGAGTGCATGATGAATGGATGAGTGTATGTGTGCCTCCGCCAACACTCCCTCTGACGCCATCAGTGCCTGGCTCTATGAGAAGCAGAAGTACAGCGTGAGTTGCCTTGACTTGACTGCCTGTGATTCCCACTCAGACTCCTTCCAGACATCTGTTCAGTTTAGCGTTGGTACCCGCAGCTCTTCGTTCCCATCTCCTGTCCCCTCCTCATTCCCTGCATTCCCATACCACTCTCCCTTCCTCCTTAACTCCTTTCTTCCCTTCCTACTTCCTCCCTCCTCCCTTCCCCTGCCTTTCTCTGCTCGTCTCTCTTCTCCTTCCTTCCCCACCCCTCCTCTACGTTCTCCCTATCTTAGATTCTCCTCCTTTTCCTTCGCTTCCCTGCTGTCCTACCTCCTACCTTAATGTCCCATCCACCAGTCAGAAGCTGACACGTGCGCAGCAGGGGAGCTCTGCAGCAATTACCGGCAGATTGTGTGGAAGGCTGCTACAGCCGTGGGGTGTGGCATGGTGGGTGTAAGGCTGCTACAGCCGTGGGGTGTGGCATGGTGGGTGTAAGGCTGCTACAGCCGTTGGGTGTGGCATGGTGGGTTGTGGCACTTCGATTAGAACTGCTGCAGCAATCACCTATGCCACTCCCTCTTCCTCTTCTTCCACATTCACTGCTGCGTCTTGCACCTCTCTCCCTCTGCCTATGCCTTTCGAGTCATCTCAAATCCCACCTCTCACTTATTCTTTCCTCCTGCCTTTCCCCCTGCCTCTTCCCATGCCTCTCCCCCCTTGCCTCTCCCCCATTGCCTCTCCCCCCTTGCCTCTCCCCCCTTGCCTCTCCCCCCTTGCCTCTCTCCCATTGCCTCTCCCCCCTTGCCTCTCCCCCTCCCTCTCCCTCCACCATACCTGACCACATACCTACCAACCATCCCAGGTTACTTGTTCAGAGACCCGTGCACCCTCCCCCACCACCCTCTTCACCCTCCTCTGCCTCTTCAACTCCCAAGCCTCCTCCAACCTACACCCTTGGCTCGCCTCCCCTCCCCCTCCTCCCTCTCCGCCCTCCCCTCCTCCATCCCCCCCTCGCTCTCCCAACCCTCCCCCATCCCCACCTCCCCCTCGCCGCCCTCCTCCTTCTCCTCCTCTCCGTTCCTCTCCCCCTCCTCCTCCTGCCGCCCGCTCCCCCCCTCCCCGCCCCCCTCCCCCTGTGCTGCGCCCCCCTTCCCCTCCCCCCCCGTCCCCCCCCCCGGCACGAGGGGCGGGTGTGCTAGGGGGAGGGGGGAGGGCGGAGCTGCTGGCGCTTATCAACAGAGAGAGGTGGGTGGGGTGGGCGGAGTATTTTGTCTATTTGTGTGCGTGCATGGGTGCGTGTGCACTGCATGGGTGCGTGTGCACTGCATGGGTGCGTGTGCACTGCATGGGTGCGTGTGCACTGCATGGGTGCGTGTGCACTGCATGGGTGCGTGTGCACTGCATGGGTGCGTGTGCACTGCATGGGTGCGTGTGCACTGCATGGGTGCGTGTGCACTGCATGGGTGCGTGTGCACTGCATGGGTGCGTGTGCACTGCATGGGTGCGTGTGCACTGCATGGGTGCGTGTGCACTGCATGGGTGCGTGTGCACTGCATGGGTGCACGTGCACTGCATGGGTGCATGTGCACTGCATGGGTGCGTGTGCACTGCATGGGTGCGTGTGCACTGCATGGGTGCATGTGCACTGCATGGGTGCGTGTGCACTGCATGGGTGCGTGTGCACTGCATGGGTGCGTGTGCACTGCATGGGTGCGTGTGCACTGCATGGGTGCGTGTGCACTGCATGGGTGCGTGTGCACTGCATGGGTGCGTGTGCACTGCATGGGTGCGTGTGCACTGCATGGGTGCGTGTGCACTGCATGGGTGCGTGTGCACTGCATGGGTGCGTGTGCACTGCATGGGTGCGTGTGCACTGCATGGGTGCGTGTGCACTGCATGGGTGCGTGTGCACTGCATGGGTGCGTGTGCACTGCATGGGTGCGTGTGCACTGCATGGGTGCGTGTGCACTGCATGGGTGCGTGTGCACTGCATGGGTGCGTGTGCACTGCATGGGTGCGTGTGCACTGCATGGGTGCATGTGCACTGCATGGGTGCGTGTGCACTGCATGGGTGCGTGTGCACTGCATGGGTGCATGTGCACTGCATGGGTGCGTGTGCGCTGCATGGGTGCGTGTGCACTGCATGGGTGCGTGTGCACTGCATGGGTGCATGTGCACTGCATGGGTGCATGTGCACTGCATGGGTGCATGTGCACTGCATGGGTGCATGTGCACTGCATGGGTGCATGTGCACTGCATGGGTGCATGTGCACTGCATGTGCACAGATGCTTGTGCATGGTTGCACGTCCATGGGTGGTGATGTTCTTGACATTCCACCACTGACTTTCCCCACTTAACCACTCTTTACCAAGCTTCACCACTCTCACCGCCCTTATATATCCCCCCTGTCACTTCCCTCTCTGCCCATGCCACCGCTCTCGTCCAATCAGGGCGCCTGCCAGCCTGTCAGCGCTGACCTGGAGCGATGCCTTGGCCACGTCAGCGCAGCAGTGGGCGGCCAATCAGACCGCAGCACTGTGCTCTGCCCCTCTAGATGCCTTCGGCTCGCTTCTCCCTCGAGCCGCTACAACCGTACCTACAGCCGTGGCTTGGGGTGTGAGCTGGTACGGGTTTGAGTCGGCTGCTGCCTCACCTGAAGGCAGCGCTCCCTCTGACGCCATCAGTGCATGGCTCTATGAAAAGCAGAACTACGATGTGAGTGTGTGATATGAGGAACAGAAATATGACGTGAGTTTCCTGCCTTAGTGTGTGTGTGCTGAATCCCCACCCTTTGAGTCGACTCAAAAGCTGAATCCCCACCCACCTTTTACTTTCTCTCACTCAACAGCTATCTTCTCTTGCATTTCTTCCTCCCCCGCTGTTTGCGTATCACCTTCCCTCACCCCTTTTCTTTTGAGGCCGATGAAATAACAAGTGAGGAATATTTATGTATGAATGTATGTATATATATGTATATATATATATATAATACTTTATTCCTCGTGTCTTCTTGTGCCTACCCTTGCTTCCCCTCGCGCCACCAGCCAACCACCAAGACCTGCTCCCCTTTTGATTCGTGTGACAACTACCGTCAGATCGTCGGCATCACAACCACAGCTGTCGGATGTGGAACGGTGCGTGTGGTGGCATGGTTGTGATGTGGCGCGGCGAACATGCCTATTTTGTCTGCTTCTCCTTGCTCGTTCCCCACTCATTTCCTCTCATTATCCTGGTTTTGTCTATTCATTCTCACCCTTTCACCCACCCCACCTTTCCACTCTTCATCCTCCTCTCCTTTTCCCATCCCTCATCTCCCTCCCCTCTCCTTCATCTCCCCTCCCCACGTCTCCTTCCAATCTCCTTCCTCTCTCCTCCCCCTCTCCTCCCCTCACCTTCCTCCCTTATATCTCATTACTCTCCACCCCCCATGGTCTCTTCCTCTCTCCCCTTATTCTGCAGATTTCCTGCCTTGAGTCCAAAGCACCCATCCCCACCACTCTCTACATCCTCATGTGCCACTTCGACCCCCCTGGTTACACGCTAACCACCCGCCGCCGCTTCTAGTTGCAGTTCATTCATTTGTTCTTTATTTTGTTCATTTCTGGAGTGTTGGTCCATCATGTGGTGGCTGAAGCTTGTAACATATGTGCTGCTTTGACATTTATATAAAAATTTGATCGATCATAACTCTGTTCGTGCAAAGCATGTATAGCTGGAGTGTGTGAGATTGCATCTTTCCTTAGCCGCGACAAGGCTAGCTACCCCACAGGACTCAGTCATTGTGACTGATACATACAGTACAGGCGCCGGCAGTCAGTATCCCTTTGAGCCGACTCACAAGTCACCTACGGTATTAAGGCTAGCTACCCCACAGGACTCAGTCAGTGTGACTGATGTTGGGCTGAGGTGCCCTAGGATCTTTGTAGAGTTAAAGTTTGAGTAGGATGATGTAATAGCGGAAGCGTTGAATAAGAAAGCCTTGAACCACCTTGCGCTGGTATGTGAGGGCAAAGTAAGTTGATTAAAACAGGCAAATACAAAGCTTTATATAAGAGTACAAGGAATACGAATAGATGTAATTAAACTACCTTGCTGTTGCGATTCGATACAGTGCGACTCGGGCAACTGCTCAATGTCGAGTCAGTTGTGTGTCCTTGCTGTCGCGCTGTATTGGTCAAGTCAGAGGTCGCTGACCTTTGACCTTCCCGTAACTTTCAGGCGGTTACCCTAACCTCCGAGGGTTGACTCGCGATGCTTCGATTTGGACTTTTTCGCTTTGTATCCTGAGTTTCGACACGACAGAGGCGCTTAACTTATTTGTTCCCAACACTCCCCTTCGCTTCTGGAGTGTCGCTGATGGTGACGTAGCTTTGTCCAGTCAGCAGCATGCAGTACTCGAACTTCTGTTTTCCAAGTTTCTTGGTCAAGTAGTCGGCTGCCATCTCGGACGTGGGACAGTAGGATAGATCGAGTTTCCCTTTCTCGATTTCGTCTTTCACGAAGAAGTATCGAAGGGCGATATGCTTCGTTCTGTTCGCGAATCCGCTCTTGTTGGCGATGCGAATTGCGGATTGGTTGTCGCAGAACAAGGTGAAGTTGGGTAACTCGGCTAACTTTGCTTCTTCCAACAGCTCGCGAAGGTAGAGTCCTTCCTTGGTGGCTGAGCAAAGGGCGATATATTCTGCTTCAGCTGAGGAGAGAGCGATTAGTTCCTGCTTACTCGACTGCCAGGAGATAGGTCCGATAGGCTCTAGACGATAGACGTAGCCAGTGCGAGAGCGCCTATTATCTGTATCGCCGGCATGGTCGGCATCGACGTAGCCGATTAGTTTCGTTGACGTAGCTTCGCTCTTGTAGTAAGTCAGGCCGATCGTCGGCGTGCTCACGAAATAGTGCAGTGCGCGATCGAGCTCCGCTAGGTGCTCTGCTTCGGGTTTCTTGAGGTAGGTAGCGAGTTGGCTTGCGGAGTAGGATAGATCCGGGCGACAGGTGACGGCTGCGAAGAGGAGGCAGCCCAGTTTCCTCTGGTAGTCTCGTATTCCGCCAGCTTTGAGTGGAGCGGAATTTCCTTTGTCATCTCCTGCCGTGTAGCGGTATGGCGTGGCGATAGCGGTAGGTGTGAGCGAAAAACGCTTGGCGATCGTGTCGGCGTATTTCTCGGCGCTTAGATAGATCGCATTTTATTCTTCGCGGATGTTGAGCCCGAGGTACTGCGTGACGGTAGAAGAGACCGTGAGCGTGAGGTCCTTCTGCAGCTCCCCTTCGAACCAGGTGGTGACGTCGTCGGTGGAGCCGATGTAGAGCAAGTCGTCGACATAGACTATCAGCAGGATGTAGTCTGCGTCTTTGGTGAGTCGGTACATCCCTTGGTCGTGAGGTAGTTGACGAAATTCGATGCGAGTAAGGCGGGTGTGTAGGTGCTGTTGCCACAGCCGCGGTGCTTGTTTGATTCCGTAGAGAGATTTCAGTAGCTGACAGACCTGATTGGGGTTTCCGTGGGTACTGTGTGGGAGTTCGACGAAGATTTCGGCGTCGGCGGGTGCGTAGAGGAATGCATTGGCGACATCAATTTGTCGCAGCTTCTTCTTCTTCATGGCGGCGACGGCGAGAAGGATTCGGAGAGAGGTATGTCGACTAACTGGGGCGAATGTCTCGGTGAAGTCTCGTCCTTGCTCCTGATCGAATCCACGCACGACCCAGCGTGCTTTGAATTTCTCGATCGTGCCGTCTGCTTTCGTTTTGATGTGGAAGACCCATTTCCCGGTGAGAATAGTCTTGTTCCTTGCCACGCTTGCGGGAACGACCTTCCAGGTGTTGCGTTCCTCCAATGCCTTTAGTTCTCTGTCCATGGCTTCACGCCATTTCTCCCTGTGTTCCCCCCCCAGAGCCTGCTGAACCGTCGCAGGCTCCTTAGGAAGCGCGTTGCCGTGCACTGCGGTGAGGAGGCCGAGGATTTGCAGCCCAGTCTGTGAGTATCGGGGGAGTGTTGTGTCAGATTATTATAGCTGATGCATGTTTGTAGGCTATAGTGGGGTAGCACATATGGGGTACAGTTTGCTAGGGTTGTATTTGTACCCAACTCTGACTTAGTCAATCCATTCCTGTTCATTCCTTCACATGGTATAGAGCGGGTTCCCTGTGGGAACTTCGCCTAGGGCCCACCGAAGCGCGCTCCGAGGCGCGCGATCCTTTTTTTTAGCGACCCCCCCGAGTCCCCCTTCCCCTGCGGCCCCGCCGCCCTTCGTTCGCGGCCCCGCCGTCCAGTCGCGGCCCCGCCCTTACGTCGCGGCCCCGCCCTTACGTCGCGGCCCCGCCACTAAGTTGCGGCCCCGCCACTAAGACGCGGCCACGCCACCCAGTCGCGGCCCCGCCGCCTACTCGGACGCGGCCCCGCCGCCTGCTAAGACGCGGCCCCGCCGCCTGCTAAGACGCGGCCCCGCCGCCTGCTAAGACGCGGCCCCGCCGCCTGCTCAGCCGCGGCCCCGCCGCCCTCTACGACGCGGCCTCCGCCGCCTGCAGACGCCGCGGCCTCCGCCGCCTGCTCAGCCGCGACCCCGCCGCCCGCTACGACGCGGCCTCCGCCGCCTGCTCAGCCGCGGCCCCGCCGCCCTCTACGACGCGGCCTCTGCCGCCTGCTCAGCCGCAGCCCTGCCGCCTCCTACGACGCGGCCCCGCAGCCTGCTCAGCCGCGGGTGCTTCCAGCGGCCCTCCGCTGCATCCTGACGGCCCGCCGCTGCACCCTCCGGCCCCGCCACTGCGCCTGTCCCGGCTCCGCCACTGCACCCTGACGGCCCCGCCGTCCCCTGTCTCGGCCCCACCGCTGCACCCTGACGGCCCCGCTGTCCCTTGTCCCGGCCCCGCCACTACACTGCAGCCGAACTGCCCAGCAGCAGCCGAGCCGCCCAACAGCAGCCGAGCCGCCCAGCAGCAGCCGAGCCGCCCAGCAGCAGCCGAGCCGCCCAGCAGCAGCCGAGCCGCCCAGCAGCAGCCGAACCGCCCAGCAGCAGCCGAGCCGCCCAGCAGCAGCCGAGCCGCCCGGTACCTGAGCCGCCCGAGCCGCCCGAGCCGCCCGAGTCGCCCGAGCCGCCCGAGCCGCCCGAGCCGCCCGAGCAGCCCGAGCCGCCTGCTGCTGACCTACCCGACTCTCCCATCCCGGTGAGACTTTCAGCTGCTGCCATGGCCACCCCCAATGTTCTCACTTTTGACGCTGAGGGGAGGGCCATTGACTTTGCCGTCTGGATCGAGGACCTGCAGCTGTACTTACTGTGTGATGCGGTAGATGAGGTCTCTCTCTTTGACTTTGTCTCTGGCGCTGTCCCTGCCCCGCCTGCTGATGCTGACTGTGCCGTTCGCTCCAAGTGGGCGACCCGCGATGCTGCTGCACGTCTTGCTGTGCGTCGCCACCTCCCTTCCTCTGAGCGTGCCCACTTTAGTCAGTGCAAGACCGCTCAGGCCTTGTACGACGCTGTAGTTGCGCGCTACTCCTCCCCTTCCTCCGCTACCCTTAGCCGCCTCATGCTACCGTTTCTCTTCCCTGACCTCGCTTCCTTTCCCACTGTCGCTGACCTCGTTACCCACCTCCGCGCTAGTGACACCCGCTACCGCGCTGCCCTTCCTGCTGAGTTCCGCGCTGCGAACCCTCCTCCCATGTACATCACTCTCTACTTTCTCGTCACCCGTCTCCCTGAGTCCCTTCGTGTCGTTAGGGACCAGTTTCTCTCTGTCTGTCCCACCACTCTCACTGTCGACCTCCTTGAGGAGTCCCTGCTAGCGGCTGAGAAGAGTATTGTCGCTGTAGGGGCCTCTCGGGGTGACCCTCGCACCCCCATCTTTGAGGGGTGTGGTCCCTCCCCCCTGCTGCCCTCTGTCGCCTCTGCCGCTGCGGCCGACCTCGTTGGTTTTGAGTCGGTCGGCGCGGCGTCTGCCCCCAGTGGCAGACGCCGCACTGGCAAGGGCAAGGGGGGCAAGGGAGCGGGTGGAGCCAGAGGGGGCGGTGGAGGAGGCGGTGGGGGTGGAGGGGGGAGTGGGGGTGGCGGGGGGGGTGGTGGCGGGAGTGGAGGTAGTAGTGGCGGCGGTGGAGGCGGAGGTGGCGGCGGAGGTGGTAGCGGAGGAGGCGGTGGGAGCGGTGGGAGCGACGGTCCTGGTGGGGGAGGTGGCGGTGGCGACGGGGGTGGCGGTGGAGGCGGGGGTGGCGGTGGAGGAGGGGGTGCGGAGTGGCTCGTCCCAGCGGAGCAGCTCTGGGGGTGGTCAGCGCCAGCAGCAGCAGCAGCAGCAGCCGCAGCAGCAGCCGCAGCAGCAGCAGCGCTCTCGCACCGTCCCCGGCCCTCAGCAGCTCCGTGAGTGGTACTTGCAGCGTCAGCGCGGTGGTGCGCTTGGTCCCTGCCCCTACGTTCTTCGCACTGGTGACCGTGCAGGGGAGAGGTGTGGAGGCGCCCACACAGCCCGTCGCTGCTTTGGCCGCCTGACCGACGCCTGGCGTCAGCAGTTTCCGGAGGCCGCTGAGATCCCCCGCTGGGGAGAGCTGTCTAGGGCTGGTGTGGCTATTTATGATCTTGATTTTGATG